ACGTGACTTTGTATAAATACTCAAAGGGCTCAGTACAATGCTTGTACCTCCATAAGGACGTGTCCTTGCATGCTTTAAATTTAAAGGGGGAAAAAACAAGAGGAAAGAAAAAATACCTGAAAAGGTGGAAAGTTAAAAAGAAAAGGTACTGTATAAAGGCAAAGTTCACCTAGCTCAATGGTTGATAAGTATTATGATACCTTGTCCACCACTTACATGCAACAAATAGATAACACAGTACACCATTACTACAAAAGTAGAATTTGTTGTCAATTTCTCATTTCTGAAACTAACTGTCAAATAGAAAGCATTTGCAGAATTATATTGCTAGAGCTATTCCTTGTGAAAGTTTAAGTACCCTTTATCCCATTAGGTCGTTTAGACTTCATGCACAGCATTATTGATAAGGTGACATTTGAATGAAAACGTTATTTACTAATAATTTTGTACTTTTGTTTTTTCTTTTCTCTTCCGTGCTTTTACTTTTTGCTTTGTCATAGCATAATGCTTTTGCTTTCATGTTTAACCCGTTGTAATAGAGAGACGATCGATAACATTTTGTTCATGGCTAGTGATAGTGGAGCTTGATAGAGGCTTTCACCATCCACTAACTGTTGAAGCCATCTTGTCGGTCAAATGTCACCACAATGAGGGTTGTGTTCATGGATGCCTATGCAGGTTAATCCATATGCTTCTAGAAGAATCCAGATAAAATGAACAATATTGAAAGCAGGAATAGCCTTATGTAATTTTAACGTTCACATCACTTCACAATAGATGTGGCAATTTGAGTTGAACCCGACGGGTCAATCCGTCAACCAGCTAAAACGGGACGGGTTGGGTTATATTTTTCACAGTGTTTAAAAACTCGGCCCGACCATCGACCCGGCCGAGGTCAGGAGTCACGGGATCACGGGTTCAACCGGAGGGTCACGGGATTACTACGTTGACCCGGTTTTATATATTAAAAAAATATAAATATATATATCTTATATGAAAATATTAAAAAACAAATCACCAATCATCAAAGATTCAAAATATCCTTAAAATAATTCACCAATTATAATCACAAGTCAATATTACACAACCTAATTATAGTATCAAGATACCAAAGTACAAAACTCATATTCTAATGATACCAAATTATCAAGATACCACAAGTATAGGTCGTTTGGAGAGAAGAGAACGATTAGATTTAGGATTGCAAGCATTGTTATTTTTATTTTTTAATAAAACGACGTTGTTTCATGGAATTTTTTTTAAAAAAAAAACATGGAGTGACTCTCTTTGATCCCTCTGACCCGGGAGTCACTGAAACCCGGCCGGATTTTGGGAGTCGGAGGGATCGATGTGCATATAGGGTCCAACTTGTGACCCCAACCCTCAGAGGAGAGGGGTCAGGGTTGACCCTGGTCAACCGGGGGGTGGGGTGGAATTTTAAAACACTGATTTTTCAACCCACCAACCCACCTCAACCCGCCCCGCTTAGTGGTTGGTCAAAATGGGTTGACGATGGGTCGGAGCGGGTTGACCTGCGGGTCAATTTTTTTTTTTTTTTTACTAATTGGTAGTATTTTATTTGTCATTACGCTTTTGTAATATGAAGTTTTTTTTATCTTAGTACTCTCCTAAAAAATATAAAAAAGGAAAAATTTTATTTATTACAAAGGTTATCCATATATTGAGGCAAAAATAAATTCCTAAAAAATATTTGACCGAAGATTATTATACATTTAGGTTTGAGATTAGAAAAAAAACTAAAGGATTCGGAAATGAAAATAAGAAATATTATAAAATTAATAAAATATAATTTATTTTAATTTTTAATTTTTAATTATTTTTTAATTTTTTAGGCGGATTGACCTGCCAACCCACCACAAAACGGGGTGGGTTGAAAATTTCAACCCATATCAAAATGCAGGGTGGGGTGGGTCAACCCGTTTTTGGCGGGTTGACGGTGGGACGGAGCGGGCTGACCTATTTTGCCACCTCTGCTCCACAAAGGCATACTTTAAAAAAAAAAAAAATTATTAAAATTACACCACATAAGCTTTCACTTTCTTACTTTTGACTCCTGTTAATTATCTGCAAAAGTTTTTTGAGTAAAGGCATACACGTATTATCACACTAGGATGACTGATATGACAAGAAAACACTAATATCAACAAAATGACAGAAATTTAAAGAAGGGATTCCCTCATTTTCTATTTTTCTTTCTCTAATTATTGACACAGAATAAGTTATGACTTTAATTTATACATATTAAGGAAAAATAATAAGAGAAGAGAGGAAGAAGGCAAGGGCAATTGTACTTAGTCTATGAAATTTCATAAAGTTATCAGCTTCACGACAAAACAGGTTTGCAATGAATACAATAAAGGATAGTAACCTCTTTTTTGTTTTTCAACATGTAATACAGGATGATATCTTGATCAAATAAAAAACAAAGTAAAATATGACAAAAACAGGATGTTACATCCTAAATACCTATAAAAATTTTGTATTCGTTAAATTTCAAATTTCAAATAATTAATCTTCACTTGACAAAAACAAAAGAGTACAAAAGAGAGAAACTAATGTAGCCAACTGAAAGAATTGAGTTAACCAGAAACTGAAGTTCATACAAGTTGCATCACAATTCACTACTATTCGAACATGGTAAGTGAGAGTGAGACCAACCTCTGATAAAGGTGAAATAAAATATAAAAAATCATTGCTATGAGAAAAGATTGAGCTGACAGAATCTAATTGATCTATTTTATCTTCTAGCTGGACTCAGCTTTTTAGAACTTGGTGTCAACCAATGGCATCGATAAAACATAATCCCTCTAAGATTTTCATTAACAGAAAGCTTAGATTATAATCATTCTTGTCAGGTTTTGAAGCATATTACTCCATGACATAGTGATATTATTATGCATATAAAACATGAATGCAAGCGGTTGATTAATGAGTAGTGGCCACGTTACCTATGAAAAAAACCACCTTATTAGGCATCCTTCCAAATTAGGGAAATTGAGACCAAAGGGCATTTAAGAAAATAATTATTGGTTCTTTCAGTTTTCTAAATTCTTTGGCCCCTTGGGGTAGCAATAAAGAAGAACCAATCAAATGGGTGACTTGGTTGAGGCCACAAATCACATGGCAGAACCAATAAAATAAGTTTGTCGGCTACTTTGCAGTGCCAGGATTGGAAGCCTAGTGATAACACTGTGAGCGAGGCACAAACATTTTGATTATGGCCTAGCATGTAGCAGAGGATAAACATTAATCCAAAAGTTAAAACATACAACATGACAAGATGAATCAAAAGAAACAGACAATGTGATTAGTAAAGTATAAGTCAAAATTGGCTAGGTGGTTTTCTGATTCCAAAGCAACGATGTTTATTGCAAAGCACAAACTTTGTTAAGTAATAATTGCTAATTTTTGGCCTCCCCAATTATAAATGTAAATGTAATAAAGTGAATAAGACCATGAAGTTCATGTCAAATCCAAGATTTCAACTGGCTTAACTTAAAAAACCTTTCAGCCCATCGTTTCGTGTCGCCTCATAGGCTAGCTAGTGGGACCTTGAAACGCGAAATGCCCTCTTGACCTCAAGTACGCTAGAAAAGTATCTCTCTTTTAGATGATGATTGCAGTCATATGGACTGTGGACTGTGGAGTAGGGGCATGCAGTGCTCACTCTCTGAGTTCCGTTCCCTTTTTGCCTTTTAAGTTTGTTTTTTTTTTTTTGGGGGGGGGGGGGGGGGGGGGGGGGGGGGTGGGGGGGGGGGGGGGGGGGGGGGGGGGCTAGTGGGACAAAGAGATAAATATTGGGATAAAAGAGAGAGAGAGAGAGAGATGAGAGAGTGGGAGAGAGATGAGAGAGTGGTTAAGACCATGTAAGGTGGGGAACATATTCATATAGACGTTGAAAATAAATTAATGTTCATAGGATAGTAGGCTGCATAAGGGCGTTTCCTCGCTTTAAATTGGATTAGAGATTACCTTATTTTCAAATATAAACAGTTCTCAGAGAGGGCTAGCTGTGGACCATCATTGTTTGAAAGAGATGCTGGTTTTCTCTAGATAGTGCTGTGTGATGTGCAGATATAACAATGTTTTCCAGAATTGAAAATTGACTTGTATTTGAAATTGTGAGGTTGTGTTGAAAATTAAGGGGATTAAGTAAGTTGGTCCCATTAGCAAATGCATCTAAAAAGAGAGGAGTGGTGTGTCCTGTCCCCCAACGATTGACCCCCATGAAGAGTGGAAAGGGAGTTACATAATTAAGTCTTGTTTAGACCTTGTTTGGCCCCCCCTCCCCCTCCATCTCTCTTAAGGGAAGAAGTGGGTGAACATAAGAACAGCTTAGTTTGCCCCCACAGACTCCTTAGATTATTTGGTGTTCCTTCAATATGGTAGGTATTGGTTACAAGTACCTAGACATTGTCTGTGACCTCATGCCACATTTTGCTTTTTAGTTTTTATTTCTCTATACATACGAGGAGACAGCCTTTTCCTGCCCTAGCGTATGAAGAACATGCAAATACGTGTAAGCATTTCCAGTTTAAAATCTGTCCTGGAGGGCATTGTTCCGTTGATGGCTGAAAAGGATAAACCACTCCATTGGGGTGACAAAGATAGTTAAAACTTTAAAAGTGAAGAAGCTTGTAAATATTTGAAGTGGAACCCTGCAACTTGCAAGCTGATATTTGTTGTGACGGATCTCCATTCTGTTGTAGCATCCTTTGACCATACCAATCTTTTGGAAAGCTAATAGGTTTTGAGAATCTCGATAGTCAAGAACCTTATATTTATGTCGTTGCTTTTTATTCCAAAGTGGGGGGTGGAAACAAATTGACTCATCAGCCAATTTAGATGCTAATGGCAAACACATCTATGTGCTGCTTTAGACACTGCAAGATCATTGCCTATATTATCTGAAACAGTTCTTCACGGGAAAATTAAGGGCCGATAAGAATAATTAAGAAGCACTTTTTAATTTCCATCCAATGTTAGTAACTTTCCACACTATTCAGAAACAAGAAGCTGTCACATCATTATAGTTACCAAGATTTCTCACGTCTGGTAAATACTTTAAACTGTTTTTTCAACAGTTGACTCTGTACGAGTCACTATAGTTATAAACTTATGTGAATCAACATTAAATCCACAGTACAACAGTCAAAGGCACACATTTAAGCAACGAATACGACATGTGGGAGAAGGTTTCATTATTCACACAGTATCTGTAACAAACTAGAAACAGCTAGATAGACTGAGAGAAAGCTAGACTTCTCCAATCCTCTCAGATTCGCGTTTCCTAGAAAGTCATTTTCTTGTAGCGAGCAAATGGATGGCCCTTCAGTCGTTTGGATAAATTAAAAGATTGCCCTGGAATTGGTATGATAATAAGTAACTCTACTCAAATACCAAAATACTTCCATCCCATGAGCATGAAGCAAAAACATTAGGTATAACTGGATGGAAGGCAATGTCTATGCATGCTTGGTCATAGGCCTTGATTTTCTTCACAACTTTGGATGACTGATAATCATAAATATAAATAAAACCATCTGAAGAGCCAGAGGCAAGCTTCTTGCCATCCAAGCTGAAATTGCACTTAATTGGGAACCCAGAGACCCCATGGCTCTCATATCGCTTATATTTGTTGAGTCTGTAGGGTGGGGTGGTAGTAAAGATTGCAACATAATTCCCATTCGATTGGGAAACAAAAATCGAATCAAATGGGTGGCACCTTACACAGGGACAGGTATAAGCTTCCACATAAACCTGATTCAGAAGCATAATAAGCTAATTAAAATCTAAATTCACAAAGTCATAACAAAGTTTACACGCATACAGGGTCAAAATGATATTTAGAAATGAATTGCATACTCCAAAATGTATAAAGAACCAAGAACGAAAGGTTGTAAGCATCACAGATATTTCAGCCTGTAACTCAGCTGTGCATGTGGCTTGAGTTTTATCACAGCTTTAATATCAGGGAGAATCTTTGGAAGAGGTAAAAAGTGATTTTCTAAATTACTTGTTATCAGTGCAAAACGTGTTTTTCTTCTGCAAACGTTTTATCTTCTTTGAAACATGAATTTCATCACTGCACTAACATTTTTACCTAACAACCATCAACAGATCTCAATATTTAGCCAAAAGACAGGGTCCATTAGGCGAAAACAAGTTTACACGAATAAAATGTAGACAAAAAGTCACATGAACTTAATCTGATATGTAGGCAATGACAATGTAAAATATGTAGTTGCCTACAATATAAACATGGGCATTTCACACCTTAAAACATGTAACTGGGAAAACATTTTCAGCTGAATTACTTCCAAAAGTGTAAACATGATGAATAAAGAGAGGCATGAGCTAGAGTGGTAAGAGACTATGTTAGGAATCTAATGTAGGAGATGAAAACCGGAATATTATTGCTAATAAGCTGATATCAGACTGGCTGATACAGATTAGAATGACAGAAATATGGCAAAATAAACACAAGAAAGATAGCCTAGAGCATCCGAGAGGCTCTAGTTTTTCCCAATTCCTCTCGTTACAATTTTCTGATGCTTTCCGAAACTCCATTCCCCGCTTTTTATTCCCCTCCCTCTCAAACTGTCCATCTCCCCTAGTAATTTCTCTCATTCCCATTCATTTCCTACTGCACATTAATTTCCCACTCATGCCCGTTAATTTCCAACCCATGCCGACCTCATGCCTATTAGTTTCCCACTCATGCCTTTGGACCCACTTTAAGGTGTGATTCCCTGTTGCGCTTTGTTTAAGTATCAGAGTCAAGAACGGAGAAAATGAAGGAAACTTGTATTAATAAGACTAAATCCAACTTGGATTCAGTCATAACAGTACATTCCTATTTTCCAAAGGAAGAAAATTACATTTGAGTAAGAAAGCAAAGCTAGTACAGGCGCAGAGTAGAAAGGAAAGACCGGTATAGACACTAATGATAAAGAAAAGTAGAAAATTGGCCAAAACAATTAGAGAGGTTCTGGTCCTCTCCCAAACCTAGCCCAATGATCCCAATTCTCCAAGATGCATCCAAATGATCCTTCACTTGCTACTAGTAACCAGCCATGTGTGATGCCATCTGTGTGACTCTAACTATAATAACCCTAACCTGTGTATTTATGAAATTGCATGTGATTAAATATTTAAGGAAAAAGCTCACCAATGCCTCTATGATTTGCTTCAGAATCACTTATGCCCTGTGTTTTTTTTTCTATCACATATGCCCCTGTAGTTTGCGAAAGGGTATATTTTTTTATCACATATGCCCCTGTGGTTTTTTATTTTTTACAAAGCACAGGGGCATATGTGATAGAAAAAAAACCACAGGAGCATAGATGATTCTGAAGCAAACCACAGGGGCATTGGTGAACTTTTCCCAATATTTAATCATGTATTATCGAGTTTAATTAGATAAAAGGCGTAATTAAACAAATTAAAGTCACTTTTGGGCAAAAAATGCAATGTGTGTAGGTAAAATTACCCAGAACTTAAAGATAAGTTGGGGAATATTACTGCAAAAATATTCTAAGTCAATATGACCAGTTTAGAACAGAGTTAAGATAACGGGATAGATAAATTGTTACCCAGTGGAAAGTTACTTAACTAAAGTAAGTGAAATAACTTAAGAAACACCTCACAATTTCCTCATCTTCCTCGAACTCCCTGCTCACACCCGAACCCCATTGTCTTCAAGCTTGATTTTGTAACTTCCTCATTTCTCAACGAATCTCTTGGTTCTTAAAGAAAAGTTGCTTAGAATCTTGAGTAGAAGATAACCTGTAATCCACATTCCTTAGAAAAGCATTGTATTGAGAGAAAAGGAAGGAGAAAGTGGCAACCCATTGTGGTTAGAGGGAGGTTAGAGGGACTTGGAGCGGTCCATTACTTGAAGTGAGGTTGGAGAACATTCATTGCATGATTCTAGGTAAGTTGATGTTTAGAAACTAGCATTTCAATGGTTTATATGAATATTGGTATTTTAGGTTTTGTTTTTGTAAACGTGGCTAGTTGGAGTGTGAATGAGGCTTAGGCCATGTTGAAAAAAGTGTATAGATTAGGATTTTAATAGTGAAAATGTATTTGAAAGATCATTTTGCATACCTACCTTAAATTTTGAAATTTATGCCTATGTAGTGAGGTTTCTTGCATTCCAAGTAATGAATGTTCGAATGTTTGAATTGGATATTGAAAGTGTCCATTATGTTGATAGGATTGAAGCAAGTGGACCTACTTTGAGTTATCAAACATTGGCTGAGCCTATGGAACTCGATTTGATTACTTGAATTAAATCAAGTATAGGTTAACTTTTCACTTGTGTAATGTGTTGATTGCCTAGATTGTTGATGAATATTGATATATTCATGGATGTAATTGATTGATTGCATTACACCTTTGTGTAGGTGTTAGCTTGCGAGATTGTGGTCTTAATATATACAAAGTTTGGTTGGAAGCAAACTTGGTGACAAAACAAAGGTTAGATTGAAAGCGACTTAGGTAAGCCTTCGGACCTTGGGATTTATCCCTTTATTGTTCCACCAAACCCTGATATTGGTGTATATAATTGCAATAGAGTAGTTTAATGCATTGATATATGTATGTGTATGCACTGCGTGTGAATGATGTTTCCCTATGTTTTGTATGTTGCATGACGATGCGTAATTCATACTTGGTAGTTCAGCTGACCAGTAGGACTATTTGCATATGAGAATCCCTAGGATGGTGAGTGTGCCAGAGGGATGTCTTATGGAGATGTTTTACATATTGCATGGATATGTATATATTATATTATTTACTGTTATTTTATTACACTTGAAGTGAACTCTGGGGTGGAGGAATCCTCCAAAGACCCCTGGTTTACTTAGATGTTTATCTCATCCCGTGTTGTGGGGACCCCTTTCAGGTACAGGCACTGATGGTGCTGGAGCATCTATGGGCAAGAGGCCTATGTAGACTGTGCTCTTTGGCATGTCGCTGTTGTTGTTTATGCATAGTTCATTATTTGCAGCATGATTTTGGATTACTGTTGCTGAGCATGTAAATGTAATCTTATTTTGAGGCATGTATTGATGATGCATGGGGGAACTTAGTGTATGATCATGTTATTTTATACCACCTATGATGTATATGGGGTGTAGGGTAGTGATCATGCTTTTGGTATTTGCAAAGTTCCTGGGTATGTAATTATTGGACTGTAGTGTATTATGACTTGATTCCTTGATTCCTTGATTGAAGAGCTTGTATGCCTGTTTGGTAAATTGAGATTGTATCTGTAATAATTTAAATTGTCTATCAGGTTGAAACGTTATAGTAGGAACTTATCCCCAAATGTCCGAAAAACTGACGAAATGTTGTCCGTTTTATTTTGATGATGTTGGTAGGAGATTACCACCCTTGTGCAATTAACTACCACCATTCGGTATTTGGAGTCATGCTGTTTATGGGAACACTATGGCAGTCTTTTATGAATGTTGTATGACATATTATGCTAGTTAGTTATTCCACATTTTATTCAGTTACAATTACAGTTTTGATTTGTTTATAAATACGGAAAAAGTTTTAAGCAGTAAATGTACGTTTTAAGAAAAGAAAAAGTTAAGCCGTGTTTAATTCAACTTCTGTTATTGTAATTGCGCTTAATATCATACATAATAATAACAAACCGGTTCTAGAACGGGGCGTTACACTAACTACTTGATTTTTTAAACCAACTGATGTTGACTCAGCAATTGTAGGTGGAAGTTGTAATCCTCTACTTCTCTTTCCTACTTGCACCCTTCCAAATTTGTTTCTCAGCCCATCCACATCAATACTTCCTCCCGATTTAACCACCTTGTCCTAAAGTGAAAAATAGCAAATTAATGATTAACAATGGTAAAGTCTTCCCATTTATTTTCAAAAGAAGGCAAAGACTTACATTTGATAAACACTTCAAGTCCCCCTTGACCTGATTTTCTTCACTGTTACACCTCTTCTGGTTCGGTTTGGAGCTCTCATTCCTCAGATAATATAGAAAGCAGTGGCTGTTAGTGAGTGATGGGGGATATAGCCTTCTTTAGTTGTGATACATGGAACATGTGATGTACCTTAAAGTCAACTGGAAGTTCCACCCAATAAGCAACTTCACCAATTCTAGCTAAATTCTAGTACGGGCAATAATACCTAGTATAATACTTCTAACTTAAGTATTTAAATTAATTACATGTAGTTAATTAATTAAGCATGTATAAGTGGATTGAATTAAGTAAAATACCTAATTAAATAAACTGGGGTCACTTTTGAGGTAAAAAGTGTGGTCAGTGAGAATTATGGGATAAAAATATGTGTAGACAAAATTACCCAAAAGGTAAAATTAAAGTTGAAAAATGGGACTGGAAAAATATTCTAGTCCATTGGATGAAGTTTAAAAGAAAATAAAGTTAGATAGATAGATAAGCTTTTACCCAGTTTAAATTGTATGCTCATGCATTGATTCATGCATTGATAAATGTTATGATTGCTTAAAGATCATTGACTGATGTTTGATTGTTTAAGAGTAATTGAGGAATGGTTGATAGATGTAAAAATAATGAATGAAGTAATGGTTGAGGATTCAGATTGAGATTATGTTGATAGTTGAGAGATGAGGTAGTGAATGATAAATGAGAGAGGATTGAATAGTCATTGGATCAGTCCAATGAATGTAACTAGTATGATGGATGTGTGGTCTTCCTTAGAGCCAGCCCTAAGGGGAACTCCTTGTGGTTATTACC